TGAGAATAGTTGCCCTTATATGATATAACTCCTTTTAATGTGATGTCAGTTACTCTGTGTATGATGGCATATATCGTGTTGAATAAAGTTCTTGTTTTTATCCTAAGCAGCTATTAGACTGTTTTATTTTGTAGCAGTTGGTTTATTTTTTTATGAGAATCAGGTTATCTATACCACTAGTGCAATTAGTGCAAAAAAATATTCCCAGCTTCCTATGAGGAAGAAATGGATTATCTATTAGTTATTCTCACAAATACCAATAATATCACGTTACTTTTTTTTTATTTCATCATGGAAATTTTGTGAATGAAGGGAAAATATAAAAATTGCCATAGGTTGTGTCAAGTCTTAAATTGCTCCAAAACAAATCATTTAAACAATTACGTATTGTAACTACGTGCTTACCGGATATACGTTTTTGGTACATGCTGTCTAAGCTGACAAAGAGTGATTTTTTATTATGTCTTATCAGCGTTTTAAACTTGTACATTTGTTTTGAAAGCGTACTTAAATTGACCTGTGACACCTAATTAAACAGCGGTCGAGATAAAACCTTTTACTAGTCTCATGAGATACGGTACCTGCATTTTTTATATATATCAAAAAGGGAATACGAGTTGCGAAGGTGTTATAGTTTATCTTAAACTCGCTAAAAAGTTTATTCTTATTAACAGTTTACGAAGTTTCTGTTTTTAGTATGTGGCGTGCAGTAAAACGAGAACGTCACTCCATGATAGTAAATAGTGAAAAAAATATATCGGGCCTATAAAAAAAATACAAAATAACACATGGTTGATTAATAATACACTTGTTGAAATACACTGTGATACAAATATAAAAATAGAACTACAAGAATTACCACTAGTCGTTACTGGAATTATGTCAATAAATACAAGTAATAACATTTAAATTCATACGTATCAAATACTGATACTTTATACAAGATGTTTCTGCGAATTAAAAACAAAACGATACGCATTCGCGAACCATACCTACACTACACTAAATGTATTAAAGGTGTTCTTCAATTTTGTTTTCACAGAAAAAATTACTTCTAGTGATTATTATTTGGAGACGTTGCACATGTCGATTTTCTCATTTGAAGCACGTTCATTATGCTAAAAGGGTTCTTTCAACTAAAATCAGTGTCAGCCCCCTTTCCCTCCCAGGTGTACGATAAGAATGCTGTTAGCGTCTCATGTGGATTCACAAAATTGAGTTCCCTGATGGAAGATGTGTTAGGGAGTGCGATATCATGGCTAACCCTGATAACAAAGTGTCAAATCAGTTCAGCTTCTGACATCGACCGATTTGATCACTAGCCCGAGGGCGTCAGAAAGCTACGTCAATGACATAGATTCTTGATGATTAGTTCTTCCACACGTTGTCCCTCATGAAAAATGACTCTCCACAAATTCTACTGTACGCAAAGTGTTCAATTAATGTAAAGGCGTCCTAGTGTCTACATTAAGGCGTCCTAGTGTCTACATTTTTTTTCTCCTGCGTCTTGCACCACTTACATTTACAAATTCATTTTTTCTTCTTACTTTTATACCTGTAGTGGTAGCTTCAAGGTCTAATATTCCATAGAAATGCTAATATCTTTGGCTATTAAAGGTTTTCTTAATCTCCTGGTTCCTAGAGTTAAATTGGTTCGCTATATATATATAATTTTCAAGTTCATAGGCTATTCGGCATTTCTCAACGGTGTTGAAATGGAAAGTAGTGGTGGTGGTTAACTCTGGTAGTTTTTTTTATCTTTTTAGATGCAAATTCCCTTAACTATTTCGTGATCTGTAAGTGATGAAGTATCTAACCAACTCCCTCTTTACCGGTATGGTACATTAAGAGATTAGCATTATGTACCATTACAAGAGAAATCCTTAAGTGATAAAAAAATCGACATGGCGTATTTTGTCCATTTCCACATTTTCACGCAGAAATAAAGTAATTTAGCATCCTAATTTTACAATTTTGGGAAGTAAAATGTAATTCGTAAATTTAGCCAAATACAATATATGCGAACCCAGATCTACAAAGTTTCGACTCTAGTATGAATGTTTATTGTATTTATAATAACAAAAAAGCAAAAGCAAAAGGTTACACATGATATAATACACATTTTTGCTGTACGGTCATAATGTGGTATACTATTTGGGGGCTGTAATTATATTTTGAAGGAGAACCCTGGGGTTGACACCGTGGCAACAGCTACTACAAACATCGAAAACAGGGCATTAAAATAATTTCCCAAAATTCCCCAATTAAACACCAATATTTTCCTTTATATAACGACTCATTCTTCCTTCCTCCTCCGCTATAACGTACGAAAGTACAGAAATATTTGCGCACGTGGTTGGTTTAAAAGGACACACTTCTGTGCTTATGTTACAGAATCCTATGCCTAGAGGGAGTCCAAATCCGTGGGGAAAATGTGCAAAAATATGCGGAAATTATAAATATATATCTGCATAGAAATTTAGAAACTCTTCTCAACTATTTGGAGCATTTTCTCCGTTTACTATTTGCAGTTATAATAGCTTATAACACCGCTAGCAGTGACGATACCCAACCGCCTGATGACCCATGACATTGTGGTCGTAGAAGCTTTTACAGTTTGTCTGTCATGTAAAATTAAGACTATTGATTATTAATTGTAATTATTATTGTAGCATCCTAAAAGCTCTTCTGGTAGAAGTTCTCACACAATAAAAATGTGCCCCTTAGTGGCACAGCGGTATGTCTGCGGACTTACAACGCTAGAATCCGGGTTTTGATACCCGTGATGGGCAGAGCACAGACAGGCCGTTGTGTATCTTTGTGCTTAATTACAAACAAACAAACAATAAAAATGTAAATCAAGTATATATATAACAATATCATACATTTTATCAGTAAAATAAAAATACAGAAAATTTATACATACATTATAAGTAATTCTGTAATAAATAGTACATTTTGAAGTACAGTAATTTGGCTTAAAAGTGTATGTTCTTGTTAATCTGTTTTTAATCATTAAAAATAGACTTGACATTATAAATTTTACAGACGATTTAGTACCGGTTATGTTTATCTCACATTTCCATTCTCCCTCAGCTAATCACATGCACGTCCCATTCGTCACTAACCTCACCGGTGGCCGGAAATAAAGTCACAAAAAGTCACTATTTTTGAATACCCAAATACAATATAAAGTAATACAACAAAAATCATTTTTAAGTTAGTTATTTGTTGCAGTAATAACATGATGCATAATATGTAACATTATA